TGACTGTTGGATTACACTGTCGATTAATTGGTCGTCCTGGTCGAATCTCTTCTTTAGTTCGATTTATTAATTACATACAAGGTCAAGACAAAGTGTGGGTTCCAACTCGACTTGAAATTGCTCTTCATTGGAAAAAAACACATCCATATGTTAAACCAGATCTTATTCCATCACAACTTGATCGAGAAACCTTTATCAGTCGATTTGGATTAATATTTGAACAATCATCATGGATTGCAGAACGTGCTTTCGATGGTGAACTTGCTCCAGCTAATAATACAGCACATGGACTACATTTTGCACTTCGAACACAGTTTCGTGCTGCATCAGATGATGAACGACTGAAAGTATTAGTGGCACATCCAAATTTAGCTCGAAAACTAGCTGTTTTAACATGTTTAACTGCTGAATCAACAAATGAACATTTATCATCTGATCTTGATATGTTAACTGATGAAGAACGAGAAATATTTACTGATTTAAATGAGAAATATACTACGAAATTTGGTTTTCCATTTATAATTGCAGTGAAAGACAATACAAAAGCAAGTATACTTGATGCTATCAAACGTCGATTAGAGAATGATCGTGAAAACGAATTTCAGATAGCTTGTACACAAGTGGAACGTATTACTTATTTACGTCTGAAAGCTTTCCTATTAGATTAAATTCTTTTTTTTTTTATTGATATGTCTATTATGTATATAATATATTTTTTGATGAAACTGTTTATTTGATCTATGCTCTTTTTTTATAATGATAATGTAACTTGATGAAATGTAATTCGATAATGAATAAACTGAAATAAAAATATTTTATAATTATGAAGATAGTATACATATGTAAATTCATTTCTTTTTTGTTACTGTGTACGATTATGTCTGAAGAGTTTGATGAAAGTGGATATATTGAAAAGAAAAAGAAAGATGATATGTCTATCAATGGTGTCGATACTTGAAAGGATGAATGTATAAAGTATATGAATGTTGTTTTCATTGTCTTAGTCGAAGTCGTATGACAAAAAAAGCAGGAAGTAAATATTCAAATAGTGAAGGATATATTGTACCTGAGTTATGGAAATAGATTGAATAGCTTGCGACTTAATGAAGACTTTGCTCAACGATTGATTCATAAATATGTTTTATTATTTTCGATGCAAAGAGTATCAATACTAAATTCTTTCTCTTTGCTAACCGTAGTACTTGTTTATTGTTTAAACTAAACTCAAAAGTAATTGATCACTATTTTGTATATTATTACCTTTATACTTAAAATAATAAGTCCAAATCCCATATACTTCTATATTTAACGATCAATTTGCTAGAGAAATAATAAAATAAGATTAAAACATAAACAACAAATACATGAAAGAAAAAACAATATAACGATTGTAAAATGAGAAATAAATAAAAAGAATATATGACATAAAATAAATGAATAATAATCATTCATTATTATCAAGTTCCAGTAAGAAATTTGGTACCTATATATAAATTATAGAGAAATAAATTGAAAATTACTGAAGTTAAATTTATTTACCGGTAATCCTGTTGATTGAATGATATTTCTACATGTTGTTAATTGATCTTCATAAGTTGAACAAAGTACAAGTAAATCATTTTGTTCGGTTAAAGTTTGTTGATAAATATTGTTTAATTTCTGATATTCATTATCTAAACGAGTTTTCTCATCAAGTGATCCTTGCATTTGACTTTCGAGATTCTATGAAAATGTATTAATTAAAAAAAAAAGAAAGCATTGATAAATTAATAGATATACCTCAAGAATGGATACTTTTCGTTTTTCATTAGTAATTTTTTCTTGTAAAACACCATTTTCTAATTGAAGTCGAGCTATTTCATCATTTTGTGCTGCGTATCTAATTATATAAATCAAAATATTTTGTTTTTAAACAGAAATTTAATCATTACTTTTCATCAAATGTATTGATCTTTTCTTGTAATTCAGTAATACGAGCAGTTAATGCTGCTCGTTCTCCTACTTGAACGCGTCCATCGTTCTATATAAATAATTTCAATGTACATAAATACAGAATAAGAGTTTAACATATATTCTTACGTGAATATTATGATTTTCATGATTATTTAAATTTAATTGTTCAACTCCATTTTCAACGCTAAAATATTATCAGAGTGTTAATAAACATCAAAATAAGTTTTCGAATACTTACGGTTGTGTCATAGTCGAATATTGTTGTTGAGTCTATACCAGAGAAATAAATAATAAAGTTCATTGTAAAAACAATTAAACATACCATAACATTTCTTAAATATTCTAATTCAACTCTTTGTTGTTCACATATTGCTCTTAATTCATTATGAGCATCTGGTCCTAGAATATTTTTAATTAAAACAACGTTTTCATCTCGTGAGCGGCGCCCATGCGGACTTTTCATTTCCCCCACTCGAAAAAAACTAACCTTGTTTCGATGATATTCTTAATAAAGCATATTGATCTTTAATTTCTTGTAATTTTTGTTCTAAATCCATAACTTTCATTTTATATGTATCTAATTCATGATTAAATTGTTTTTCTTGATGTTTATATGCATTTAATTGTTGATCTTGTTGTCGAATTAAATCATTATAATGTGTCATCATTGTTGATGTTTGTTGTTCATAAAGATTTGTTGACATTGGATCAATTAAAGATTTTTCTGTTGGATTTATATTATTTCTTATTAACATACGTGCTATTGAACTTTCAAGAGTTTTATATAAACGAGCAAATTCATAATCAAGTATCATATCATTAGATTTCGATAATTTTAGCTGTGGTTTTTGTAAAGCTTTAGCATAATATTCAGATTTTGATAATATTTCAAGTTTTTCTTGAAATAAATCAATACCAATACGTTTATTTATTATTCGTTCAAGAGATTCACTAGAACAAAAAAAAATATTAGCTATGTTTTTATAAAATAATAGAAGATTCTTTTACGTTGAATATGATGGTATTTGATTATTATTAAAAACTAAACATAAACCTAATGCAAATGAACATAAAGATTGTATAAGAATTTCTTTATCATCAGCAATTGATTGAGCACATATTTGTGAGATAAGCTAAAATAGAATAGATCGTTTTTTTTTGAATTGAAAAAATTATTTTTTCGACATACATATGAAATACTATTTTGAATTGAAAGAAATGTTTGTACAGCTGATGAACAATTTGCTAACCATGTACATAGAAAAATTAATACAGCAATACGAGTATGAAATGAAGATGAAGGCTATTAATAGAAAAAAAATATGTAATAGATTTTATGTGGTAAAAATATTACATTTTGTAATAAATCTGTTGAGATTTCCATTAATGTTTTCGCACCTGTTTGTGCTTGATCAACTGCTAATACGACTTTGAGTATGGCTTCTTTATATTGTTGACTATCAGCAATTAAATGCGCAAGAGCGATACCTGAACACCATGATGCAATAATATCTTTACTTAAATAACCAATGATTAATAAATGACCTAATGTATATTGATTAGCAGCTGAAAAAAAAGTAAATAGTACTTTTATTCAAAAGAACAAAATTGTGGAATACCATTTTCAGTTTGAGGTAAAAGTGTTTGTACAATGAGAGATTTTCCAACATCATTTTTATATAAATAACATTGAAGACAATAGAGAATTGATATTCGAAGTGGAAATGATTGTTTTTCACCAGCAACCATTGTATATAAAAGATTAAATAATACAGGTCTAGAAAAAACAACAAAATAATTAAATCTATTTTATTCAAAAATTTTATTTACTGTTGAACTTCACCAGTTGTATTCATCACAGAACCGAGAAATTGTTGATTTTCTGTATGACCACGAACAACATCACCAATTGTATTAATCGTCTAAAAAAATAGATTTATATTAGGTAAATATAAATATTCAAGTTTACTTCAGCTAAAACATCAGCAGGAATTGTTGTAAGTGTCAGCATAACACATAAACGATGTAATAAACCTTTTTTTTTTATAATGACAGATAAAATTCTATTCGATTTATATAATTCTTACCACATTGACTAACTGTACGTTGACATGCGACGATATTTTGATGAGAATTTGTTGGTGAAACAAGTATTCGAATAACCTTTATTGAATAAATGAAATGAAATTTTAATTTATTTGTAGTTATATTCTTACTTGTAATAAAAGATGAACATTTGTTACTTTTTGTGCAGACCAACGTTTTTCACCAATTGAACTAAGTTCAAAAAAATCAACTAAACGTCGAATATATGAACCTTCACGAAAATAACTCTGATTTGATGGATTATTTTTTAATAAATTTAATAAAACAGATAAACAATCTTCAACAGTAACAACTATTTAGAATAGAAAAATAAATTTTCTTCTTTTCGTTTCTTTGATTGATTAATTTACCTCCGTCACTTCCACCTTCACTAACAAGTATTTCAAATAAACGTTCAAAACCATTTTCAAATGCAACGATCTTTTGTATATTAGCATTAGATTGAGTTAATATTTGTAATAGAAGAAGTGCCTAAGAAAATTAAAAATTTTTTTTGTGTTTTATAAAACTAAGAAATTTACATCATTCCGAATAACTTCACGTTCATCTTGTAATAGATCAACTAATTTTGATACACCCATAGGTCCACTTTCTAAAATAATTTCTTGTAACACTTTAGTACAATTTGTTAACAGTGCAGTAAGAAATCGAATAGCAGCACGTCGTACATTAAAATCAATTTCCTAGAAATATAGATTTTTAAGAACGAAAAAAAAAACATTATGAAACTAACTTCTATAAGTTCAAGAGCTGCATGAACATATTCTTTATTTTTAGCATATAATTCTAAATGAAAATAAATGCTATTACATTAATTTACTTTAAAAAATCAATAATGCATACCTGTAAATTGAACAGTAATATCTTGTGGTAAATTTGCTTGTTCTACAAAACAAATAAATACATGAAAAAATATCAATTAACGAATAAATCCTATACCTTCTTCATTGCCAACTTCATAAGTCACGACATTAGCTAATGTTTCAAGTGCTAATTGAATTAAATCCAAATCAGTTCGATCACCTTGTAAAATATTTGCTAATAAAGTCATACTTTGAGTACCGACTTCAAGTTTACATTTCTACAAAATTCATATTAGAATATATTTAACAAATAATACAAAATTGATTGAATACTTTTGAAAGTGCTTTAAGTGCACGTACAGCATCGCGTCGATCTTCGATACGTGTAGCTAATTGTAGACGATCGCATAAACGCTCGACCTGTATAAACATATACAAAGAATTCATTAAATTAGATGAATAATATTACGTGTCTATTGATTGATTAGAAGTAAATCAGATCGTTGTAGTAACTTACCGTTTCTTGACCGATTGTATTACTAGATGGAGTTGTCGAAGACGTTGTAGATGAAAACAGAGAACCACCACGCCAGAAAGCCATACTATTTTCTTATAAGCAAATTAATTGAGTTTAAGATTTCTAGTTAAACTAAAAAAAACCTTAGTTTTTATCAATATACCATCAAATATGTATAGCTTCATTCATTCATTCATGCGTCGTACTACATTAATGGGTTATTTATTTCACTGTTGAAAATATTGATCAATAGAGGTCACCGATAAACAGCTTTTTCCATGTAAATAAG